ATAACCTTCAAAACAAGTCTGGGATCATTCAGGTATCAGTCCATCGACCCCAGGAATAGATGGCCTGGTGAGCCATGAGCACGAGGTCGAACCACAACCTTATGTGGGGCGCAGACCACTGCGCCACATGGGCTCTTGGATCCAATGAAACTTGTTCAAAACTAGCAAGACGACCTAATGCTTTTGATAACAAAAACGATGCTTTCCCTATGGTACCACAGATTTTCAAGCATTTCGCTGCGCTGGGCAAGAAATTCTCATAAAAAGTGTTAGCAATCAATCAAAAGCTTAAATTTCAGGAAATCGCTGTACGTGGCCGGGTTATCGAGAAGACCCTTCTATACCGCTAAAAAATTCAACATAATATTAGTTTGACATGAGCACATATCTCGTAATACGGAGTTTTTCCATAGCTTTCAGGGATCGCTCGATAGCGTAAAATTTACCGAGTTCAACGCTGTGCTTATATCCTGAAAAGACCGTTCCTCTACAAGGAAGCAGGGAAAATAAGACTGATTGACATGCGAGCAAGTCTTCTTCGGCTAGTCCACAGGCGGTGCGGTGCGATGGGGGGTGGGCAGAGGTAGGCAGTGAGGCGTATTTGTTCAAGAATTGTTTCTCCACTTCGGAAGATCCTGGTTGAAACGTCTGACTCTGATATTAGAACATTTTCCCTACATGTTTATGTGGTTTTCGTACTTCCAGCGAAGTAATATTTAAATTGCGCGGCTAATGTGAAGCATGATTTTATCTTCAAATTTTTTTTCGAATTATTACTAATATTCTTTATGAAAACTTTTGTCCAGCCTAGGATACACGCTTCCATAAACGTGCCAAATAATCATTTTTGAGCTACGCATGTCATGTGGTCCGTTAAGAAGGGCCGACTAATAGAGCCCGATACAAGTGTTTCGACCTTGCAGTCTCTTCTACTGGGCAGTTAGGCCTGCAAGGTCGAAACAAGTGTATCGGGCTCTATGAGTCAGCCCTTCTTAACGGACCACATGACATGCGTGGCTCAAAAATGATTATTTGGCATATTGGAATTTGAGCTGTCGCCTTAAGAAAACACTCGAAACGAAAGATATGATATATTAATCCTCAAACGTTTCCATACCTTCATCATCACCACCTTTTGTTGCAACAATTTGAAACATTCCCATACCATTTCCAATCATAACAATCTGAAATAAGAAAGAAAAAAAAGTACCTTAGAGCAGCAAAGATAGAATACATTCAAGTAGCCAGTGCGTACAATATTTCCTCGCCCAGGATCGTCTTTTTCCTTCTGGTTTTTTCGTTGCTGACTAATTGCTGCAGCTTCATCAGTCTGTTTTTCATTAGCAAGCTTCTCTAAGTTATCTTGCACATCGGAGTCGACATATTGTAACTAAAGAAGAAGAGTTTAAAGAGATGTGAAGATAATAATTAGACGGCACTCTAGTGAGGATTTGTGGCCCCATAAAAGCGCGAGCGCGCGTAGGGCCCATAGCCTCATTATAGATACAACAGGGTTGTAAGGTTTTTCTAAGAAACAAGTCCATTTTAAGACTTTTTCGAAATTTACGCTATTCAAAAGTCATTAGAAGTTTAGAAAAAAAGCTCGGTCCAGCGAAATATAAGCGTGTTAAGTATATGAACGCGCAGCGCATGAAACATAACCTTATATGTTTAGTTGGACAAAGTTTGTTTCAAAACGAATTATGCCCTTCGAATAATGTAAATTTCGATCAGTTTAAAAGCGTACCTGTCTCCCAGTAAAGGCCTTTTTACGACAATGCAGGTTATTAATAAGATTATGCCTCCTAGGCGCTGCGCTTGATGGACCACAACTTTCCACTAGAGTCTAAGACAGTAAATGCAACGAGAACACCTGATCTTCAGGCAAAATAAGACTCGGCAGACACTCTACTCCAGAAAAATTCCGTTAGCTTGAAGTGCACCAAAACTTGCTAATTCAATGAAGTATGAGAATTTAAGGAAAAAAAATGAAAAAAGATGGGAGGTTTTAACGCAACAAATTCACCTCCTCAAGTCCTCGAAGTCCACCGTTGTTCATTGTGGAATGTGCGTGCCGAAGGATAGTCCAGTACATTTGCTCTTCTTCAGTAAATTCAAATCTATAAATCAATTGTTCGATGATACAAAGACGCGAATAATAAAGAGCCAAAAATTCGACAGCCCTACACTACATCATAGCGAACCCTATCAGATAGACGCCATAGGAACAGTTCTCAGAACAAAGACAAACGGAACAATGATGTTATAATCATATTTCATACGTTGAATTGGAGCATTTTGCTTAAGTTGATTACTGTTAGTAATCAAAACTTACCTAGTAGGGTCTTTTTTGATACTCTGGTGCAGTGGGGCAAATAACCCCATACTTTCGTCCATAGTGCTCATCACAGCCAGATTGTTACAAGGTGTTGCTATGACCATATCGATATCGAGATCAGGCAGACTAAATGTAGAAGAAGGTCTCTTTGACTAAGGATACTGCTAGGTTATGGAAGTGATTTCATATATTATGTTGCTCCATAAGTTATGGCACTAAGCAGTAAACACCAATTTTGCTAACAAGAAGTAAGTAGAATTGCAAGATTTTGGTGTCTTCTAATTGCGCATTTTCTAGCGAACATTGTGACATATCATCGCCTGCTGTTCATGCACGAATGGTGCGTAAGGGAAAATGCTAGTGAAGTGGTGCGTAAGATTAATGGTGCTTGAAATGATGATACAGTTGCAGAAAAGACAGCCAGGAAGTGGTTCGCGAAGTTCGAAGCGAAGACAACGGTCTGGAGGATCAGCTGCTCTCGAGAAGACCACACAAAGCTCCATCAATCTTGCGCGCCGCCTCATTAGCTTTTCCCACCTATGCGCCATCCGTGCATGAATAACAAGCGAATTTGTTCTCCCAACAGCTCCATCTCAAAGCAATTGTAGGCAAATTGTATAGCAATATAATCACAAGGAATTGTGCAGTTGAACTATACAGAATCAATGCAATTTCAATTACTTCTGGCTAATTAATTCGGTATTTATTTCTCAAATGCTAAAACGATATAATAAAAGAGAGAAGAATAAAAGGCAATGTTTCCAAAAATATTCTCTCTTATGGTGAATCTGGGCGAATGTGGCGCAGTGGTTGCAGGTGCTTTTCGTCCCAAGTAAGGTCGATGGTTCGACCTCGCGCTCATGGCTCACAGAGCCATCCATCCCTTCAGGGTCGGTAGATTGGTACCAAACTGCTCCCAAACTTGTCTAGAAGGATAAGCACCACTGACTCGATACAGCGGGAGGACACCACGAGGCCAAATATGCATTCCAGTCATCTCAAACAAAGTTGAAAATTGACGCCGAATGTATGGCTCATCCTCAGGGACTGATCAATGCCAAAAGTTTTATCCTTCATTTTATGGTAAATCCACTCTAGATTAACGATAGAAAGAATATTCGAGGGATGAGGGATAAAGTTCCCAGGATTGCTCGACCCCTGAGGGATACGCCATGAACTCGACTCCATCCATACCATTGTAGAAGTGATCGAATATCTCCCTGAGCTTTACAGCTAGTCGCGGTGGCCCATCGACGTATCAGGTCAGTGCTGCTACCCTCCCATACAAGTCTGATATCAATTCGCCAACCACGGAGGGATTGAAGGTTCGGTAAGCCATGCCATGGACAAAGGGATCGAACCATCGACTAAGCGTGTGTCGCATGTGACACACGCACTTTGGAAATCAGTGAGAGAGTGATAATGAGAAAAAATCTTGTAAAGCTTGTTAAGACCAAATGAAAAAACAGCATAAATGGAGTAACTCACTCGAACAACGCTGTATCCACATCGAAGCGATAGTTATACTCTTTCACTCCAGAAATATAGTGAAGTAGTTCACCAACGACAAGGCAGAAAATAATGAGAAAACAGATGACAGCGACTAAAAGGGCATAAGATGGATTGAACTCCAGAAAGTCGGAGAACTCTCTGAAAGGGAGAGGGAGAGGAGAGGAAGAGAAGGAAAGAGAGGGGAAGAGGAAGAGGAAAAGGAAAAAGAAAAGGAAGGGAAGGAAAGTGAGAAAGAAAACTCTCTTTGATGAAGAATCAAAGGCTAAAGATCAAACTCGTCTCTCTCCTTCTCAATCAATAGATCAAATGGCAGGTGTCCTCTAGTCAATGACCACACCCACCCTATAGACATTTGAAGAGAAAACGATCTGATCTTTGGGGAAAAACTCACTTAAACCCGACGACGATTTCTTCTCTTCCTTTATATTATCGACAAATTTCTCAAATATATCGAGTTCTTCAACAACTTTTTTTACATTTCGTCGCTGTCGTACACCTCTGGACTCCACTACTATCATTACACGAAAATCTACAAAATAAACAAATTAGAATAATTATCTGGTTGATCGATTGAACATATTGAGCAAAGAGACGAATATAACTCAGAGTTATTACGACAAGGATAACAACAGTATGAAATAATGAGAGTTTCATAGGAGTAATAATAAAAAAATTACCGTAGAAAGGCGATCCACTCAGGACCGCATTTGCCGCTATTTAGTGGCCGCCCGTATTCTTTTCTCCGAAGTGCTAATATGATTTTTTTTCTTGTATATATGAGTAAGATTTTGTAGCTTAGTGGCTGTAATGTAATACAGCATTGATAAATGTTGATCAGTAGATCACTTCGATCTTGGAAATCTCATAGCACATGTGAGATTAAAGTACATTTTATATTGAGAATCCCTAATACAATTACTAGTTCAAATGTATTGGATTTGAAATACTGGAGTAGATAGACAAAAGGATAATCAAAGTATACTTAGAAGGTAAGTGATTTGAATTACTATTAACAAATTTTGAACTATCTAAAAGCTAATTGGAACGCTGAATTGTTGCTAGAATTCCTTATTCTACTGCTCCAGTAGCCGTTTTGATGGTTTTATAGTTAGAGAACCAAAAATGCTTAGTGATACTGTAAAGTTTTGAATGTAGCCGGCGGGAGCTGAACACGTGCCTCACCCTTTCCGAGAGTGCGTGCTAACCACTGCACTATCGCAGCTTTCGCTCTGCTATCTCTCTTTCTGCGTATCTCATTGTAACCTTAACGTGGAGAAAGAAGAAAGAAAACCCCCTTTTCTGTTGAAATTACGATTTTTTTGCGGCTCGGAAGCGCTTTGAGGATCATCGATGATTTTTACAGGAGGAAAGAGATCAAGTAAAAAAAGAGTGGGGGGGGGGGGGGGGAGGGGGGTGAGTTCTTTTCGTTATAAGTGGTTAAATGAAAAACCGATCTCATTCGGTGGAGAGGAACTTTTCATAGGAGTGTTAGTAACCATTCGAAAGTTGAGACTTTGAGGCTACAGCCCCACGTCGCCGGTTTTCGAGAAAGACTTTTTTGACGTTGCTACAGAAGGAGATTTCTTGGCTTTAAACACCCTTATTTCTCGACGGACAGAGCTCTTTGTTTGGACTATTAGTAATCATTCGAAAGCCTAGTCGAATTCGATTCCAACGCTGTGCTTAAATCTTGAGAAGACCGTTTCTTTGAACCGCAGCAGATAAAATTAGCTGCAATACAACTGGTAATAAGTCGAATGCCCACGTGGGAGCAACGGGGTCCTGCGCGAATTCACGTGGACGCTTGCTGAAGCGGCCAGTGAACTGTGACGCAATTATCGCTTTTCGAGCCTATGAACGCTTAGAGAAGTACCGCTTCAGCAGACCACATGGTCGCCACACCCACCACACGTGAATTGGCTCCAGACCATCTTTTCTCTCACATCCAATTACACTTATTTTGCCTATTTCGTGGCAGAGAAACGGTATTCACAAGATATAAGTACATCATTGGTATCAAGAAGCTTTACGCTATCTTATGATTACTAATAGCCCGAAGAAAGAGATCTGTTCGGCGAGAAATATGCGCTAGCTTTGTGTGAAGCTTACAGTGTCATAAAAGGATGTCTTGGAAAAGCGTCGACGTTGGCCTATGGCCAAAGATCTCAGCTTTCAAATAGTCACCCAGTACTCCTATGAAATGTTACTCTCCAGCGAATGAGGTATGTTTTTCATTTGTCCCCTCCTAATCAGAAAGATCAGAAAAATTTACTTTCTTGGCATTGTAGCCACATGAACAGCGTTGATTAGTAACTGCTAAGGATCTGGAATAGTAGAGTACGCCGAGACTTGTGTCAGATGATATTGATCTTATTAATTTCTTTTTACGTCCTTCAATTCGCAACTCTTTCTTATCGAGGATACTCCCTATCTCTTTATACTACAGTACATCATGCAGTTTTTTTACTGCCCAGTTGGGGCGGATAAGCGCAGTGGTTAGTAATGCAGTGTCTGAAAAATCGAACTGGTGGGCGATGCACTGGTTTGTAGGAACGCCTTAGATCGGCTACCTCCAACATCGCGAAGGAATTCATTGCGATCGGCGTTCTACGACATTCATAAAGATGATGAATTCCTCAAGCAGTAGCCGAAGAAACAGATGTTCGAAGACCTTTGAGGAGGATGAATGCGAGGAAACGAACGATTTCAAGGAGTGCTTGGATCCGCGCGGTATGTCGAGATGACAGATCTTATAAATAAATAAATAAATAGTATATAAAAATAGAAAACCTCGTAAACTTTCACGACATGGAGATGAATGACACGTGCTAATATCTGAACCTCTATTTCAAGACATTAGGTTTTTTACTTCAAGAGCTGTGAGATTCACGATTTTCGTGGCTATTTGGAAGAGTCCAGAGCTAAATCTCACAGTAGATTGTGGCGACGGGTTGTAGAAAGTAAATTTATAAAAGTATTGTCCCACATATTTCATCGTGTAACCCATTACGTTCTGTGGTGAGAGGGTATTTTGCAATACATACAGGTCGTTGATTCGATTTTGTGTCCCTGATTATGCATGCCACACTTAGTTGATGTATTGATAGGGTTACAATAAGTCATTGTATAGACCAGATATGCGCAGAAGCCCAGTCTTTGAAGCGTAAATTCGTCGGCACCAAAATGTTGAATAGTCCAAAGCTCCAGTATGCCCTGTAAAACTTGCTGATGATAGATGGCAGCGTTGTTTTTAACGTTTCTGTTGATGGAAACCAACGGCGTCTGTCCAATGGTGCAATGCCACTTGACAAATTCGCAGAGGCCAGAAAATTGTTGCAACTCATGGTTTTCGCTACTGCGGATTTCTGCTAACCCTTCTTGAGAAGTTGACATCGATTCTGGTGACTGTGGAGTAATTCAACTATGAATATCTTCTCATCAGTAAGAAACATCTTCGACAAACGACCACCAGCTAGCTATCAAACGAATCATTCGGTGAGCTTTTGTAAGCCATTTTCCTCCATCTTTTTGTCCAAAAAGTGAGTACGAGCGGTCTTGTAGTTGCGCTGTTTCAGCTTATTATCGACAATGTTTTGGACATTTCACTGGCTAGTCCAAAACTTCCTGAGCCATTCTGTGCATCGGACGTTTCGGATTGGCGTCACCACTCGCTGATCCCGAGCTTCTTTGCCAATCTGTGCATAGGACGTTCCAGATCTCGTTGAATTCACAACGATTGCCATCTGTCAAGAACTGTTTCCACTCTTGTCGGGCAAGGATATTTGGCTGTCAAACTCGTCGAATCTCAACCCAATGGATTACTGCGTGTAGTCCATACTGGAACAGAAGTCTCGGCTAGGCACTGCATTAGCGTAGATGCACCTAAAATGGCTTTGACGCGCGCTTAACACGAAATTAGTGTGCGAGCATCGTTGGAAATTTTTGCAAGCTACTTCGCAAATGTACGTGGGCCAAAAGAGGGATTTTTGAGAATTTGAAGTAAACTTTTTGTTCATTGTTATAGTTGTTGATCTTATAGACATAACTAATTTTTCGATTGAATAAATTTATTTGTTCATGTAGTATTTCCTTGCTGTTAACATATCTGAAAAAATTATCAGAGCTTTTTTCGCATCCTGTGCTGTACGGATCCGAGCATTAATGGCATTTGATTCGTTCTGACACATTTACGCTCCACATAAGTTTTCAATGTTTCACATGTTGCCTTGCTTGGATATTTCATCTTCTTCATGAACAACATATGAAGCTGTTCGAGACAGACCACATTTTCGGAGTTAGCCGAGCTAAACCTAATTGCTTGCAAGAGAATGTTGAAGAGGAGATTAAACCAGAGTAGCCATGTTCATAGTTTTGCTTCGTGATACTTTGCACATTGATACTAATGCAGTTCTCGATCCACTGACTTCTGGATCAAATTTCAAATTACAAATATTGAACGTCGTTTGAATTTCGATGAAACAGTTCTCAAAAACCAAAATCAGTTGGCCTTTTTTAAACTAATCTTTGCAATTCACTTGTATCAGCATTTTCTTAGTGGTCGGACTACGGTGAATTTTAGCGGAATGGACACGGAAAACATGATATTTTAGTTCTAAGCTCTTCGAGGAAAAGTCTTATCATCGGGTTAGTATTTTCATCTTTTGCGCTCTATGAACATGCAGACGTAGGCATTACGGGTATAGCCCTCTCTGATAAGAAATTTAAGATTGAGATTGTCATTTTATGCATCAAAACGAAAATAACGACAAGAAGGTGAGAAAAAAATCACTTCATAGCTGTGACGCACACGCGTAATTGATCTGTATAAGAGCATTGAGGAAGATGCGACTACATCATTTTCGCATTACACCACACTCCTAACACCTCTTTTTATTCATTCAATAACATTGAGTGCTTTTTTTTCTGCTTTTCTCGAGCTGTGAGAAAGCGCGCTCTACATGTGGATGATGACCTCGTCGCAGAATGACGAAATCCTGGTTAGAAAATCTCGGATCGACCGTGAAATGGTAAGGGGTTTCTAACAAGTGCTCAGGTGCCCCTTCCTGTTTCGAACCGCTCATAAGCGCTCCAGTCTTTGATAAATAGAACAGCCCTAATAATTTATGCAGCCACGTTTGCAATGATCCATCGTATTAAACTTTTCTAGATTCGTATTCGTAGGATTTTGAAAACCAGTATATTTGTATGGTTGTAACTCCATGTTCTGTTTCCATCTTCGACGTCGACTAGAGTGAGGAGTTTGATCGACAAATCGCTAATAGATAGTTTGCATTACCGTATAGGTCTACTTTTTAGTCTATTAACACAGCCTCACTCAACATCCGCTAATTTAAAATTTTTCATTCTAAGGTAGAGCCATTGAGAGCCAAGCAAGCTACTGTCAACGTTTCGAACTAAATGCTTTAGATGGTTGAGATAATCTCTGAAAAGTTTTGTTCTATCATTCTTGCAGCAACATCCACTCCTCCTGCCCTTCTGCATTTGTCTTAAATTTCTTATCTTTGGTACAAAAATTCTCAAACTTGGATGTAAGCAGTCAGATTCCTACTGCTCGTGTAGCTACACGTTAAGATACCAACTTCAACGTTTATGGAAATAACGATCTCTTAGCGGCTCTTGAACGCTTAGTCTTCAGTTCGATGAGGCAATACTCTCGACATGTGAAAACAGTCAGTTTAACTATTTTTCTCTTTTTTCGTTATTGACGAGTTTACGTGGCGAACTTTATGAGGAGGTACTTTGGATTGAACTTTATCATAGATGGCTTTTGCCGTCACAATGGGCACACAGAGTTTATAACGAGACTCGTTTAGTTACAGTAGATCTCGATGTAAAGATTCCCATTTGTATTTGTTATTTTGGGGCTAACTCCTACGTCCAGGTTTGATCGTTCTTGTGAAAGGTAGAAATACTTCTACATCGGTCCCCCCAATTCTTTGAAGAATTTTGCGAACTCATGTTTATCTTATCTCGATAACGACGCGTGGAAGACGAGTTCAGTTCAAGGCAACTGTGAAGCAGATATTTGAATAGTTGAATTCGAATTCTTCTTCATATTTGCGGAATAGCATACCTATGCGTGAGCTCGGTTTGGGGACAGCTCCAAATGCGCCACATAATCTGCTGTTACATTTGCTCAAGAGCGATTATTCAATGTTCTACCCATTCGGTAATCTCTTCTCATTTTCCCAATCTGAC